CCATTCAAGCGAGTTTTTAGGTGTTAGGGTTTAGGTTTCGTGGGAGCTTGATGGTTTCGAGTTGCGCGTTTGGTGATACACACACACAGATTAATATCTATATATAATTTACCAGCTGTTTCTCGATTTCTATGCGTGTGAAATATTAGACTACAGACATTCTTCCTGGATTAGAAGAGGAGGGTTTACGACAACTCTATCCAACTGGTTCTGACGTTGGTGAGCTTTTTTTTCTCTTTTGTTTAACAATTTCTTTGTCTCCGCAATTTTTTTCCACTTAGGAGCTGGAAAATATATTCCATAGAATTCTTCTTTTGACAATCAGTTGTCGAGGATATCGTTTATTTCTAGTCGAAAGGAGAGTTTGCTCATGGCAGTCATAGTGCGTTCATTGCTTCCTGCTACGTAATATGTGTTTTTAGTAGAGACCGTATATGTTGAGATATGTAATCAGATTACAAGAAGGAGCTGCGGGCTCTGAATAGAGAACTTATTCTCCAGTTCTTGGAGCTGATCGACGCATTAATAGAAAGACCTTCACAGTCAGCCCGTTGTGTTGAAGATATCACCCTAATATTGCGAAATGTTCATCACTTGTTGAATTCTCTTCGTCCACACCAGGTTTTGCTCACATCCGATCCTGTCTGAGATTTATTTAGTAGTGCGAGATAATTTTATTATTATTTTGTTTTTTTTCAATCACTAGGTTTTGGTTGGATTGAGTTTTTTAATTACTTTGAGCTGTATTTACTTGAATTTTGTGGACTTTGTGGGTGTTTTCTGCTTGTGATTTTGAATTCTTTGCAGCTGTCTCAATCGAATGATTCCTATGAGGTCGTTGAACTTCAATGGAATGATCTGTTACATAGGTCTGTCATTTATGAGTTTTTATCTGACCAGGCAAGAGCAACCGTGATACATATGCTGGAGGCACAATTAATTAGGCGGAAGGAGGCCCTCGCAAAGATTCGCAGGTATGATTTTTCGGTTGATGGTTTCTTCTCTACCTGGCTGTGTCGTATCCTAGAAGTTGTTAGTGGACATCAGCAACACGTCTTCATGTACGAGGAAGTATGTCTAGCATGTAATAGAAAAGTAACTTCAGACGTTTTTTGTATGATGCACAGAAAGAGAGCAGAGGCTCGAGCAATGCTTCAAGAGTTTTCAGTCACTCTGTAGATCATGCTAGATTGCTTTGGCTCAAGTTTAGAAGTTCCTGTGGACGGATCTTGTATAAACAACAATTTTTGAATGTGTATAAAGCTAGCTCTTTCTTGACATTTGATCAGCAGTTTGGATGATTTGAAACGACTGGGATTGTTTGAAGGGATGCTATGCTGTATGAGGAAGATCAGTGATAATTGCTGGTATTGTTATCAAAGCATTGTAGGATAGAGCGCCACAATTTAAAACTTCCTTGGGTTCAAGGTACCTGTAAACTTCAAAGTATGTTGTATGTAGGCGGAAAAAAAGAAAAAAAGAAAAGTGCGTCCTCTTGGATTGTTTCACAGTTCTATTGTTTCAGGTAGTTATTTCTACAATTGTACTGAATTGGAACATCCTCTTTTAACTTGGTGTTTAGGAATGAATGTGTTCTATGAAATTCCATCATTATGTAGTGACTCGAGAGAAGTTCAGCAGGAGGTGCAAAGGCGGGGTTGATGCAATGGAGTCTGGAGCTATTAACCAAAAAATTGAGGACCTTGAGTGTTTGAGATTGCCACCAGCCTTAATTGAAAATTATTATTGAAAACTATTTTTGTTGTTATTTAAATGGAAGTTTTGTTTCTTGGGTGCCAAGTTGTCTTTTGAAATAAAGACTTATTATATAATTTGGGTTTTGGTTATAATTATGTCTATGATTATATGTAGCTTAATAGGTTTTATAATATGGCATGTATCATTGCCTAAATTATGTAGCAATCCACAATGAATAGATTATGTGATTATTTCATTGTTAATAGAAACCAAGCCTATAAAAAGGAGTTCCACCTTTTTATTGGTATTTTATCCAAAAATATCTTGATATCCATGAATATGATTTCTTATTCATATTGTTTTGCAACACAATATTTTTTTTATTATTTAAATTTTAAAAATATTATAATTATAATTAACTAATTAGCTATTATATTAGAAATACCATCTACAATAGCAATTTGTGTCTTTTTTCTAAAAGACTGCAAACAAAAGCTTACAGAAGGATATTTTTTCTATTCCACTAAATCCATCAATAAAGAAAATTCTTCTCTAATTTTAATCATTATTTTAAAAAAAGATAGTTGCATCATAGGCAATATGTAATCTTTATTGAATAAAAAATATTATTAGGAATTTGCCTTATTTTTGTTAGATCTATGGCATGTGGTATACAAATATTTGGCATCCTTGGATAAATATTAATTGATTAGCAATCTTATCATCTAGTTGAGATAGACCAAAAATATTTTTTTATATTTTTTATATTATTTTAAAAAGAAGATTAAATACCTATTAATACTTTGAAGATGAAAAATTAATTATTTAATGTAAAAATATATCCTTGTAGGCATAATTTACAAATATAATCTTTTTATCATAAATATGACATTTTCATTCTAAAAAAAAAAACTAGTATTTAAAATATTTCTAAAAACATAAAATTGTATAAATAGAAATCATACGAAATTTGGCAATTCAATGTGACTAATCTTGTATATTAAACAAAAATCACTTTATGTCATTTTCTAATAACCTACAAGCAAGAATTGCATCATAAAATAGAAGATACAACATTATTATAACTTCTTAGATCTTCAAAAGAATAAAACTTTGAATATAGAGCAAAAGTAAATGTGAGTACTAGTATTTTTTTTTAAATGTTTGCAGCTATATATTTGCTAATATAAAAGAAAATTTACCATGCTTTTGTATACACTATAATTATCATTTTTTTAAAGTCATGCTTTAGAAATTTGTTGTAAAAATGGTTTTTGGTTGTATCATTATTTGTACATATTTAAATAATAATAATATTAATAATAACAATTTTAAAATTTTGCCCTTTTATTATTTTTTCTACATTTCTATTAGAAATATAATACATTGTAAATTGATTTGGAACATGAATATGTAATTATTAAATATTGTGGCTCTTATGGTAGAAATTAAAAATATGTGTTTTTAAATATGCTTCTAGTAATAATACATAGCAAGCATCTAATTATTGTTTAAATTTACTAGAACCTTCTATATTATTTTCTTCACATTCAAAATTTGATAAAAAAAAATTATATTGTTATGTCCTTTATATACAAATTTATAAAGAATTTTTTATTTAAATTATTATAAAATGCATCTCAACATTACAATTAAACATTAAAAAAATAGCAAGATTATAAAATACTATCTATTATTTTTTTGTAATTATTTTCTCTCATCTTTATGATTTTTTATTACTTTTCTTGCAATAATATGCATAATCATTTTTTAACTTAAAAGTATTTTCTAAAAATTCTTATGAATATTTTTTTATGTGTATCACTTTATATTTGAAATGTCTTCAAGGTTGGTGAATCATATGGTTTGTTATCATAGCATAAAGATGAGTTTTGAAATCAGAAATTTCTAATAAAAAATATTTTAATAATAAAATAGATCATTTTGTTTTTCATATTAGTAGAAGACAATCAAGATGTGAATATGCAATAAACCACGTTTTATAGAATTCAACAACATGATTATATATAATACTTTAATTGAGATTTCTATGATTTATTATAAAGGTTTCAAATTTACCAATTAATATTGAAAAGCTCAATTGTTCAAAATTAGAAAATATAGAGATGTTTGGTCGTCTAATAATTTTTCCAATATTTTTGGTCAATATCAGTTAGATGTAAAGATAGCAAAAATTGAGAATTCTATAAACTTGAATTATTCTAATTGTAACAATGATGATACATAAAATGAAATGAGTGCCTCTTTTTATTCTTGAAACCATCATGTACCATATATCATAGGATATACTTGTATTCCACTAGTATTTTTTATATAAAATCATAATCAAGCATACTAATAATAAAAAAGACCATATATATAGTAATTTTTTAATCTTAATAAATAAGCCATCAACCACACAAAAATTATTACAAATGTTTTTAGATATATTTTATATAAAATAATATTAATAAAAAGTACTTCTACAATTAGAACATTTTACTTATATACGTTTCTTATTTGATTCTACTCTATATATGTTGTAATTATTATTGCAACCTTTAATATATGTATATATAAGTTTTTAAACTAATCCTAATAATAGATTTAAAATAATAACAAAGATTGAAAAAAAACACTAAAGATAATTCTAATAGATTTCAAAAATTATATTATTAAAATGACTTTCATTTCTTATAATAAGCTTATTTTTAATCAAAATTTCTTTTTTCTTTCATATAACATAAAACAACTTATTACATGCAAAAAGTAAAAGCACTCTCTTGCACATTTGGTAGAACTTGATTCTATTTTGCTCTACAAGTAATAAAGATAAAATAAAAATTATAAAAATTACACAATTATGTTCAATATAAAATTTATTATCACAAGCAATATTATGAAATTATTGATAAATATATAAACGTGGTGTAAAAGGACTGAATAAAAAAATTAAATCAACAAAAAATACTAAATTTATTAAATGGTTATCTATTGTAATTCTTTACTTATTTTTTATTTATTTTAGAAAGATTGAGCAATCATTTTTTAAAATCTAAAAATAATTAACAAAAACTTGTATAGAAACAAGTCTGATATAGATGCAATTTACTTTTCAAAGATTGCAACTGGGGCAATTTTCAATAATTAACACTTAAATTGAAAACCTTTAGCTCTTTAGCTCTTCTATTCTATATTTTATTGCCTTTTTGCATTCAATGATGTTCTTTTAGAATCACTGCTGTTGAAATTTTTAACAATCATTATCTACATGCACCAATTGATATGCTTTGCAATCATGAACACATTCTATTTCTTGCAACTAATTGATATGATCAAATCAATGTATTTTTATACATTTGTTTCTTTTCTTTTCTTTTGTGAGTTGTCTTTGATAACAATTGTGTCATATGATTTACATTGTGAGCAATTTATATTCCAAGGTGAATAGATAATCCATAGTATTTTATTTTATTTTATTTTTAGATTAGCCTCCTCTATTAATTCTTATATATGTATGTATGTATATATATAATATAATAATAATAACAATAGATAATATCAAGAAAAAACCTAATATTCATAATCAAATTCTTTCTAGAAAATGTTACAATTTATGTACAAAGTTTAAATTTTATCTTTAATATTTTTTTATTAATATCTTATATATGAAAATAAAATCAAAATATTTTTTATTTTTAATATCTAAATAATCTTATAATTATTTTTACATATATATAATTCTTTTCAAATATATCATTCATATTTTTCTTTGGTCAATGGATTTTATTTTAATCCAAAGAATGGCTAAATTTTATAATCCTAATCTTTTTTATACCAAAATAATATGCACAGCCATAGCCATAGTCTTTGAGGCACAAGTATCAAATACATTCAAACCTTTTGTAAATTTTATAAAATGTTTTGAATGCATTTTTTATAATTTTATTTTTAAAAATAACTAATATTAAAAAATAATTAGATACATTTAAATTTTTTGCAATTAAAATTTGTACATATTAAAAGCTAAATAAAACTAACTAAAAACTTTAAAACATAAATATTAAATTACACTCATAAACACACACACACACACACACACATATATATATATATATACAAAGGAATTTTATTTAATATTCAAATAAATCAAGTTGAAATCTAAAAGAAATATAAGATTAATTACTAATATAAGAAAATACAATTTTAAGTGCCCAACAACACTTAAACAAGACGTTGACATCAAGAATGTTACTCTACTTCAATCTAGCCATAGTTGTTGTTCTATTCATATGTGCACAATTTTAATCTGTCAATAATGCATTCACAACTAGCAAAGCTTAGGCACCAACCTTATATTAAGCCCAAATTGTGCAGAATTTTAATTGTATTACTAGAAATTATATACATTTTTTTACTTAAGTTTTTTATTTTTTCTACATATAAACTTTGACCAAGAAAACATAGCAAGTTAAAGCAAATTCGATCTCTTTCATCATTGACTTTGCATGTCTTGTTACAAAAACACATCACTTTTATGCATCATAAAATTTCCTTGTGTATGAATAAACATTTATTGGATTAATAAAAAAAAGATATTAATTATGTTATGAAATAATTAAAAAAATAAGGTTTAAATTCTATATTATAATTTAAAGGACATAAAATGAATGAAAATTTATGAAATTAGTTACTATATAAAATATGTTATTTAAAAATAAAAAAACAAAACAAAACAAAACAAAAAAAAATGAGAAGTACTTATTGCACAAAAATGATCAGAACTACCTATTAAAATATATAAAAGAAAAGAATCAATCTGTAGTTCTATCTTTTTATTTCAAATTAGCACATCATTTACTCCTGAAGTTAAAGAAAAAATATAATTATTTATTTTTCTTAATGTTTCAAATAAATAAAAAAATAATTATCTGAACTAGTAACATTTAAATCTAGAAAATAAAATAAATATTTTAAAATAATTTCTTGTTTGGTATTTTCTCTATGGAAACTCAAAAAATACATTTAACTTCTTTAAATATTCTACTCTTTAGATTTATGACTTTTTTGAGAAAGAAAAAATAATCCTAAAAATTAGAAAAACAATAGAATTTCGGAAATTATACATAGACAAATAAAGCAAATTATAGTTTTACTTCCTGTGACTCTTATAAATTATTAAAAGGAATAATGTTGAATAGTGAATGATTCTTCTTAATTACATAAGAAATGTAAAAAATATCCCTAGAAGAAAAAAGTCATATAAAATAGTATTACAAATAAGTTATTGTAGTAAGAAATATTGTCTAAAGAATAGCAATATAACAAATGTATATATAGAGAAGGTTTGTTGAGAAGGCTAACAGAATAAACTTTTTCTTAATATGATATTTGAAAGGAATAAACTAAGAAATTTTATTGTAGTGGATTGGAGTAGAAAATAGATGTGCAAGTTTGTTATATTATACAAAAAGAAAAAGAAAAAAACATATAATTCTTGGTGGATAAAGATTAAGAAAATTAAAAAATTAAAAATTAAAACCATTAGATAGAAGTAATTAAGTGTCATACTTATTTCACATGTAAACATCAAAGCTTTTAATAGGATTTTTATAATAATAAATTATTTATATTTTATTTTAAAAATTTTTATTTGTATATATATATTCTTGGTACATATAAGCATAAATGTACATAGGAGATGGTCTATATATATATATATATATATATATTGTTAGAAATTTAGATGATATAAGAAGTTAAAGTATAATGGTTCTTAAATCTATTATTAGATCTCAACATGCAATGAGACTGAAATTTCTAACAACCCTTTTTGTTTCATTCACAACATGCCACATCCTTTGGCTTTTTCTTTTTCTTTTTTTTTCCTTTTTTTTTTTTTTTTTTTTTTTTTAAAAGAACCACCATTCTTTTCAGGCCCAATATAAAAACTTATGCTTGTGAGAAAATTAATTTTATTACGAAAAAAAGAAAAAAGAAGACAAAAGGGTGTAGAGACAAAGAAACTCCTTCTAAAATAGAGTTTAAGGGATTTCCCTATTATAAAAATATTCATACTTATACTAGTATCCTTTAGAATCTCAAATTAATAAAGAAATCATCAAAAATATTTTTAAATAACTATACTAATTCTTCTTTTTTAAGTCAATTTAAAAATTCAATGTAAAAAGTTGTATTATGAATAAAGACCATTGGATTTTAAAATATAAGTGTATATAAATAAAAATCTCTCATATATTTTAAAGAAAATAAAGTGAAGTATCAAGGATGTAAATTTAGATAAAACTATAATGAAACAACACACTTTTGTGCCACTATAAGGAGAAAATAAGCAAAGATGAAATAGACATAAGATAAAATATATCTATATACATATATATATATATATATATATATATATATTTGAATGGCTATTGCTAAATATATAAAAAACCAATAAATATTAAATCATGATTGAAATATAATTAAGGCATTAACAAGACTAAATATGGACTTATTCATGTTTCTATACATATTAGCTTTTAAGAAAATCTTGCAGAGGCTTCCCAAAGACTATTAGGGTTGTGACTAAACCTAAAGTTTTAATTGCTTCTACTCCAACTTTTAAAAGTATAATACTTTTAATCCTTTTTTTAATATCTATGTGACATATTTGCAAGAGTCGTAAGATTTGATCTATTTCTAGAAAAGTTTCCCAAAGTTTCTTGAGAAAGATATTATCCACATAATCCGTTTCTACCAAATTTTATTTATTTATATTGATAAAGATAATTTAGGCACTTGTACAAATAAGAGCTTTGGCTTACTTATGTGCTCATAGTTTCTTTTTCTTCTTGTTATTTCTCTTTTGATTATAATTATGAATTGTCTCTAATTAAGTTTCTTTTCTATTCATCTGAACATTAATTTTCGGTAGAAATATTAGAAAAAAAGAATGTAATAAAGAGTTACATGCCATTATTGCAACAATATACTACGTTATGACATTTTAAAATATCCTTCCTATTTGTCTTATTACTACTCTTACTAATATCTATCCTTTCTTTTATTCTTTTTGTTTCTTAAATCTCAAATAAATAAACATTACACTCATTTACCTACAATTACTCTCCTTTTCAAGTGAGACAAAACAAACCCACATGACATAATATTTACTCCTAGCACACACAATCAAAAGTCAACTGTTGAGGCCGGAAGTTGGTGTACTACGTGCATCGTATCATGTCCGTTGACTGCAGGATGAATGTTACGCACAATATGGTAGGGAAAAGAGAATTAAGCGGAAAATTCACACATTAAATAAAAATATTTTCGTACGATAAGGTATTTGTTGAGACAAAGTGAGGTAAAGGTTACATGCAAACTAAGTAAAACACTGCTTTGTTGCGCAACGCAATTGTCAGTAGTTTTCCGGGAACAGATTGCCATAAGCAGCTAAGGTAATAAGAATCAGTCATTGAAATCATATCTGGTTGTTTTCAGACATGGTAAAAATGAGAAATTTACAGTAAGGCGCCTGCATGGAAGACAGTACATAGATCTGATAAATGACGAGTTGCAAACACGCACTCGGATCAGTTAACTAAGATCTAAAAGGCACAAATGGAAGACGATGGAGGCGCATGCTTGACAAACGAGGACAATGTGGAACTTCTGAGTAACCATCAAAAGTAGAAAAATGTCATCTTTCGACAAATTATCATTGCTTCTTCTGGCTAGCGTAGATCTCATCAATTTGAATCTGCAAAATCCAATTTAAGACCATACATCAGCAACTTCTGAATGATATGCAATTGACCAATGTCTTCTAAATGCTCATCAAAACAGTTTACGCACCTTGTAATATTCCTTCAACTGCGGTCTCTTGAGCTTGAAGGTTGGGGTTACTAGGTTACGCTCCACGTCAAACGGCAAAGGCTCCAGAACCATGCCTTTTATGGCCTCAAAGCCCTTGACCTGCCACATTATGGGAAGATCGTCAGAAACCTGCGTCTTAGAATATTATTGGAAAGCCAATGGCACTTCTGAATGGGAAAATTTTATGATGATTTATTAGCAAGCAGAGGTCAAATAGATTTCGTTTCAGTAAACTTGCTCATGGATCTGAATCCACCAAGACTTACTTTCTTTTCCTTTCCGGTAGCGTTTACAGCAGCCATAATGTGCGCTACAGCCTTTGGATCTTTGCAAATTTGAGCAAAGTTCCCTTCAACACCATTGCTTTTAGCCCACTCCTCGAGTTTAGGTTGATTAGGAACACAAACTGCGAGAAGTGTGGACTCGAAACTGTTCCCGTAGACCCAGATCTGATCAATGAAAGTACTAATCAGTTCACTGTCACATATAAGTAGCGCAAAATGAGCTACTACCCCAAGTAATCAGTAAAGCTTTGCAAGGCTAGAGAAGATTTTGGCACATGGTCATTAACCTGGAGTAAACAAACGTGGAAATGATGTTGAACATAGTGAGAGGCAAGAGCTGGTCACAGCTCTAATACCTGATCGATAGCTTCACATTGACCATAAATACTCTCAAGGTTCTCGACAGCAACGTATTCACCCTGTGACAACTTGAAGATGTTCTTCTTCCTGTCGATGATCTTCAAGGATCCATCTTTCTTCCACTCCCCGATATCACCTGCAGTTTTACGAAGAGAATCAGAATGTAGACCATATGCAGCAGTTCCACAGTGTTAATATAAACAATTCCAACGAAACAAAAAGACACTCTCTGAGGGAAAAAGCAAGATCCAAATTATTTAAAAAGAAAACGTCAATTAAAGAGAAGACATTACCGGTGGAGAACCAGCCATCGACGAGAACCTCATCAGTGAGATCTTGCCGCTTGTAGTAACCGGAGAACAAAGTACTACCCCTAATGCAAATTTCACCCCTGGAAGAATCAGCAGAATCAGCGTGATAATTTAGCTCAGGTACTGACACCAATCGAACCTCGATGTTGGGTAAGGGCGGTCCAACAGTTCCATGCATACTGATCACGTTCGGCACCTGGATGAAGCTTGCTGCGCATGACTCGGTCAACCCTGCAGAGAAGACGTATATTATCAGTAAAAAGATGATATCTTCAGTTGCACGTGCATACTTGGAGCCGTGCAACTGACTGCTTATGCCGAAAGGTACAACAATATCACGAGACCAGGTTTGGTATGGAAGGAGCTCTATTCCAGGAAGACACAAAACTAGCAAATTCCGCAAACAAGGTGACACAATGTAAAAAACATACCATAGCCTTGGACAACTGGTGCACAAGTGACAACCCTTAAGAACTCCTCAACGTGACCAGCAAGGGGTGCAGCCCCGGATATGACGATCTTAACATTACCTCCGAGGGCCATTTTCACCTGAAAAATAATCGCCGCGAAATGTGGTGAAAAAGCCATGTGGCCTGATATATCCCGAAAAAACATGAACAATAACAAAAAACAAAATAGTTCTTCAGCAATCGATTCAAACGAAATTGTGAAGATAGTAACGGGTAAGGTGTGCAAGTGACCTTATTAAAGACGAGTTTGTCGAAAAATGGAGCAGCTTTGTCATGCTTGTGACCATCGAACAGAGACTTCTTCTTTCTAAAACATGTAGTTAAAAGGACATGTAAGTGATGTGAAATCAGAGGACCAGTTGTAACTTGTGACAATGAATTCAAAATACTAATATTGACTCAACGCCTAAATTGTGGATAGTAGGGTGTTATAATTCTTACCGTTTTAACCCATAGTCAAACAACATCTTCTTCACCCCACCAGCAGTAGAAATTCTTCCGGATATCCCTGTAAACAGTCAAATTAAGGAGTGGTTAACTAGAAATCATGCATAAAGAAGGACATGAGAATGGAAGTGACGAGTTGGGAATCCAACCAGCATGAATTCGATCGAAGACACGAGGAACTGCAACAAAAATTGTTGGCTTTAGCTCCGCTAAATCCTCAGTTATCTTCTTCACATCCTGAGAATCAAATCGACATAATCAACCACACAAAAATTGTTTGTAAACTAATATTCCATGCTTCTCAGAAAAAAAGCGTGGACAGCTCGACAACACGGTGACCACTGTATATAAGGACTTAGGAAGTTCTCTAGGTTGAAAGATGATATTCATTCCTTTTCATGGAAAAAGACATCATGCATGAAAACAAGCAATAAATAAATACAGATTGAAAACGAACCCCTTGCCAAAATCCAATGGAAGCTCCGAGGAAAACATAAAACTCTTCGGTAACACGATCAAATATGTGGGCCAGAGGAAGAAATGAGTAGTAGATTTCGTTAGAATCATGCTGCACATATCAAGAATCAATCATGAACCCCTGTCAGACGGCAGAGAAACACTTGCACTAGTAAACAAAGTCAAGATGAAAATAGGATTTAGATAATCTAACTCTTCACACGTTGCTGGGCTCCGAAACATTAAACAACATAGTAAAACGCACGTTCAGAACGAAGACTTCACTCAACAACAACAGAAATTTTGGATGATTTAGCAGAGCTATAGCAGGATATCTTGTCTTTACCGGCTCTTTCCTTGATTTCAGAAAATGATTAAGACCAGCGATGGCGCTCAAGATATTCTCGTGGCTTAGGATCACTCCCTTGGGCTCACCAGTTGTGCCACTGGTATACATGATAGTAGAAATATCAGATGCACTTGGAGGTGTTAAGTCATGAACATTTTTCGCTCCCTGAACACCAAGCGAAGCAAGAGTCAGCTACTACCAACGTGTGTAATATTAAAAGTTGAAAATTACATCAAATGCTTTACAGCAGAAAATCTAGGGAAGAATCCTACCAGATCCACAAATTCATCCCAGGAGTAAAGTGCTGCACCCTGAGCTGAAGCTGCTGTCTTCTGTGCATCTGTGTAAGTTGAAAAGCTCACTAGGGCTGCACAGTCAGTGTGTAAAGGTAAGATCAGGCATAAAAAGTACGATAAACCCACATCAAAAGTTTGATGGAAATGCAGGAACACCCTAACCATGAGAGAGCCTCTGAAGCGATAATGACCTCGTAGTCTACGACATCAACACCTTCGAATACCCAAAAATAAATAAACAACAAGAAAAAAAATCAGATAAAAATCAACAAAAAGAGTGAGGCTGCCAGACTAAAAAGCCTGAGCGTTAACCGTAAAAGTGGGATGAAGTATTACTTTTCAAAGTTTCGATGCACTTAGAAAGAGAGGCGAGGACCTTCAACAAAAGCACGGAATAATCCCCGTTAACACACGCAATGAAGCAAATCCATCCGCACAAGAATTAGATAAGGGAGCATGAAGTTGTCATGTTCAAACATCTGTAGAATCAGACATACCAAATCAAGCTTCGTATTGTGAATGAAGGCGATGGACACTTCTGCGTGGTTGATGATAAACTCCACGGCCTCATTACCTGCAAATTATTGCAAAACGGAGCCAGGCGTGCAAACAAGATGAACAAGGAATTAGCGCGAAGCAACGTAGTGTAAGAAAGAATGCACAAGCCATTCAGGAAAACATCACTTTTAGATTTATAAGAACTAAGGAGGCCATCCGCACGACCAGAAATACAAAAAGAGGTTCAAAGAGTACCCAAAGTATCGTAGAGAGGGACACACACCATGCTCTGGGCGTTGCATGCCTGTGATAAAGCAACAACAACTTACAATTGTTAGCGAGCAAAAATGACATGTGAGAAACAAAGGAGTAACAATATAAGAGACAATTGAACCCTACTTGTGTAGCATGAACAGTAACAAGAGGATTTAACAGCCAAGAGATTACTGTTGAACGTGCTACCCAATTCATTAGCGGGTGCAAAAAGTATAAATGCAGAACTTAAAATCTCAAAATCGAAGAATTACACACCTCCATGGCCATGAACCACTGCGGGCAATTTATGCCATAAACTCCAATTTTGCTTTTCTGGACGGAACAAAGTGACATTCTGTGAGGAAATGCTCCCATTCACGCATAATTAGAGAACAGATCCACGTCCCATGAGGAAGTTTACCAGCTAATTCGATATAGTTCTCTAATTAAAAGATAATTATAGTGAGTAATTTTCTTGATGTCCTCACTGACTTCAAAGAAATGTCCTGTATCGTCGAGCATTTTTACTACGAACACATTGGCAAAAGGTAAACGGAACAAACCGGCTGTACGCCAATGTGACGAATAGCAGAACCGATTTGGACCACTGTTTCATATACTTGCTGGTAATTAAACCAAATGTACTTCCCAGCCTGCGCGATTTCATAGTCAGCACACATTAAACTTCAACACTGAAAAGACTTCAGCAGCTACCTACCCAGCAGGATGAAAGGAATAAGTCTAGAGACTTACCACACCGTCAGTGATTTCACGATACCCCAACATTTCTTTTTTACCATCTCTATCTTTCGAAGCTCTGCGTGTTACAATACAAAACAACACTTTCCTTAATCACGTGAATATCACCCAGCCATCGACTCTGCATAGTGCCTTACTCATTAGAAACTGAATGCCAATGCCATGATACTGGCATCAGAATCAATCACAGTTAGAACATCCAGGTGGCACATTTATCGGTTCTGTTCTATGACAAAGTATGAGCCGATACTTTGGCAGCTTCAGAACTTCATATTTCTCAAAAATTGTGTGTGCAAGAATAAAAATAACAATTAGACCAGATCATAAGCGTCAAGAACAATGTCGACAAATACTCAGAAGTGCAGCACGCTAGCAACAAACACCAACTATTTACAACGACCGCAAAGGCAACGCCTACTTTCATGACTGCATCGGAAACCAATCAGAACCCGTTACACTGCATACTGGGAACGTCCAAAACCAACAAAGCTTTTGACGACGACGACATCCAGGTACTTAATACTCCGGAAGCTGGAACTTACCAGAGAGAAATAAGCTACTTGATATATGGTGCACTCTAATTAGAAATGTAAAACAGCTGGGTTTGGACGTATCAAGTTCAACAATTTGACCGTTCACAAACTCATGAAGGAAGTGTTTGTGATAGACGAGCCACTGTAGCAACTGACCATTCACAATGTTCAAACCTGACGCATTCTCCAAATTCTTGTTTCATAATTGCTAAAATTTCGTTCTGCGCATTCCTGAGTGACTATTGTTGATTGCATTACTTGGTCCAATTATTGTAGAATTGCTTTCCATACACATCGATGTAAGCTGCAACTAACAGCCTAGACCTTCTAAGCAGAGAAATTTAAGATTTGAGTGTCTCAAACGAACATTAACGATCGCCGATTTCAGTTATTCAAGGAAAACTTATGTCCCATCTCATGTTCTAATGCTCTGTCGACATTCTCATTCAATATATTTTTCGTATCAATTAACTAGCACATTCAACCAACGAGTGTCCGGGGAACTAAGGAGAAACGCAGGAAAATACTCAATAAGAGGAGACACTCACACGAAACTATCCCAAGTTGATTGCATCCCTGCGGGCAGAGAGACTAGACCATCCTTGGCGTAGACGCTCCTGTAGATAGGTCCCTTCGACGGCACTCCATCCTTTCCTAGAACAGCATCCCCAACCTTGACAATAAAACAATCTGGCTCTTGGGCAGGTCCCATCGGAGCTAGACAACCAAGCTTCGCCGTCTTAACGTGAAGAAGCCACCAAATCCAAGACTTGTGTCACCAACCACGAACCACCAAACCTGCTCAAAACCCCCTTCACACCTTAGTCTCACATACTCCGCACAACTTGCAAACTGCAATCACACAGCCTAGAGCGACGACCCCTCCAGTTAAACTCAACCTCCAACAAAAACTCTCTCTTTCAGTAGAGAGAAACTCCGTGCGACCAACCACAGACTAAAAGCTACACGGAATTTTCCGTAAACGATTGGGTGAGAGAAAAAACAGAAGCTAAAAAAAAACACGAGAGAGTTGAACACGCTTGCACCAGCAATGCAGCACCGAACAGGCCACAGAATCGGAACAGAGCGATTACAGAGTGAGAGGAGAGCAACAATGAGGCAGAATCAGAGCATTACCACGCGTCGCAGCGCGGAAGCAGTGAAGAGAAGCTGCGAGAATTGAAAGAAGAACTGGAGGTTTGAATGTGAGAACTGGAGGGAAGTCAGCGATGGAGTGACCGCTGCCAACAGATGAAGCCTCCGAGAGAGAGAGAGAGAGAGTTAGAGAGAGAGAAGCCACTGGATGAATGAAAGAATTCATAGTATGTCGTATATCGTATATTATTGTAATGTGTCTCCCCGTGTGGATGGATTATGGATGAGAAATGAATAAGCGGCGGGGGCGTAGCCTCGGGAGCAGGCACGTGCGGTGGGGTTTTATATTTGGGGCCAGGGTCGGTCCCGCTCCTGATATCTTTCATTAATAGAGTCTCCACAGGATCTAGCCTCGTTCTAGGTGAGGAAATCTAGGGTAGATCCAAAGCCCTTATTCTTTTTGTGTTTCTATTATTACATATATGGACAGGATTTTCCCAAATATTTATTTTTACATATTTCACTGCACGGGTTCATCTTGTTTGGCTCTTTAAAAACACTACCCATGTTTAGTAATTTGGTGCCCATTTGTTAATCAGATATTTTGTGTGGAGGTTTGGTAAGTGCCAGACTCAACATCATGTTCACGTTGGTTTTGTACAGTTCTGATAGAGAAGGATAACTATTAACTACATGATTCAAATATCTTTGTGGGTTTTTTAACCCCAGTCTTGCATGGTGACTATTGACTTTTACCAAACAGTTTCATTGTTACCTTTGGACTTAATGCACCTTTTGATGTTATTTGTTGTAGACCCCAATATTTTCTTGTGTATAGAACTGTAGAATGAGTCGTGTTTGAATTAGGGTTTTCAATCTCATTTGTGTGTGTGTGTGTTTTTTTTTAAAAAAAATTGGTGTTTTTAATCCATCAGTCATTCATTGCTTTGTATTTGATACATGTTGTTTGATGTTGGAGAAATGTATAGAAGCCATGACTTTCAAGTTGGTTTTATCATCCATCCAATAGGCTTGTCTGATATTCCACCCATACCCTTCATGCATTTGAAGTATGGTAATGTATCATCTTTGAAATGGACTCATGCAATGCCTCTCTTTCTTTTCTATTTAAGTTTATTGATTTTTTAGTCTATGTGTGTTTTAAGAAGTAGGTAGTGTTTGTTGAAAATAAACCACAACTGAATCAAGTTTAATATATGTGTATGGTATTTATTTTTATTTTTTTTGCAGACTGGCACATTCTGTGTTTTTATTTTTATTTTAGGTGAAATGATTAAAAGTGTGTAATCTTAAAATGGCCCATAAAGTTGGAATTGCCAATGGATTCTTGTCATGATATAAATTTGTTTATATCTACTTGTATTTTTAACTTGGATTCCTATATATTTCTATTCTTATCTAAAATATGTCTTTATCATCTTATCTCCAACCAAGAATACATGTGATACAATTTCATTGAGTAATGGTTCACCTAATGAAGTATAAAATAGTTGAGAAGATGTTATTCTCAAAATATTTTTACAAGCTATACAATTTCTAACCTAAACTTCATCAAATATTTTGAACTTTAGAATCATGATTGAACACATATTGTTAGAATAATTTATTTGGTTTTAATGATTATAGATAAATAACTAAAATACAAGTAGAATAAAAAAAAATCACGAGATTTTTGGTACCTTAATGTTATCAGTATCAACTTGTTTATGTCCATATTATAACAGGGAGATGAAATGAAGGATAAGTTTTAAGAAACAAACAGGATGTCTTATTGCACTTCAAACAAATTATATGCAAAGTTGAACTTAAAATCAAAATTACTTCATAAGGATTTTACATGCCTATATATATATATATATATATAAATATGTTTTTTTTATCAATACTATAAAAATAAAAATATATGTTTCCTAACAGATCTTTCTAATTCCAATTGTCTCTATAATATAAAAGAAGACTTTGCATTATGACATACATCTATAATGTAGAAGATGACTTTACATTACATTATTACATATATCTATAGTTATATAAATCCAATTAATACAACTTCTACGTGATTTTTTAAAAACTATTATGATTCATTTAGAGAATTGCTAATATTACATTCTTTTATTGATATGGAACACCCCACATGACCTCTACATGACTTAAATTGACTAAAAAGCATGCTTCTATACTTAGGGCTTATTTGGAAATAAAAAAATTTAGTCCCAATATTAATAAAAAAATAGAATTAAATATAAAATTATATTTTTATATTCTTAGTAGACATAATATATATAAATATAAAAATAATTAAATAATATTTTAGGCAAATATTTGATTTTTTTAAAAAATAGCTTACAATTTATTTTTTCATAAAATATTCATTGTCTCCTTGTTATAATTTATAATATGGACCTAAAACAAGTTGTATTATTCATTGTCTCTTTTTTCAACCACCACCTATTCTTAAAGCAAAGAAAAAAATGCACAATAAAAAGATGTATATTATTAGCTAGTTGTCTATAAGGAAGTAATGTGGGATATAATAATACTAATTAAAGAAATAGTTTTTATGATTCTCTTAATCTATTGTCTTTATAATAGTTAATTATATTATTAAATATTTTTAAACGATTCCTTTGACATTAAATGAAAGTTTGTAAGTTTTAGTTTTAAATTTATCAAGTAATTTTAATTGATGTAAATGTGTGTGACATAAAAATAATTAGGTTGATAATAGTAGGAATATGGTATTAAAAATGACATTGTTACCTATAAATTAATTACAAACAATCTACAAGATAAAAGATGTGATTTATACTACTTTAGTCTATGCATATTGTTTAGGACAATGTAAATATAAGATGGAATGATGTAATAAGAATATTTTTATGTGAAAGGTTCTTTACTTTGTAGATAATATATGATAAAATAAAAAATATAATTATATCTTATTTTTTTATTTAATTATAAAAATAAAATGCACAATTTTTTAAAGATATAAATCACAAAGAATCAAAATATCAATACATTCTTGTATCACTAAAAATAATAGATAATTATTTTAAAATATTTATAATAATAAGACTAGAATGGTTATTACTAAAGATAAGAAGACTAGAGACTCTTGAAATAAGAGTAAGAATAAGTAAGGCATTGACAAAAGTAAGGAAGGCTTCACTCTTGCATCCATATATACTATTTAACTAAGAGTTATGTAATAATGTTTTATAGGACCTTCAATACATATCCGACTTATAAGTCACAAGTCTAACTTATAAGATAAATTTCCTACATGGCAAACTTGTATCACAAGTCATCAACAAGTGCAAAACATGACCAACTTTTTGGCTAAGTTTTTAACCTACCAATCACCTACAAATCAAGATGAAGTCAATCCATATCTATGAAGTTTTTTTTATAAGATATTATCAAATGTATTTACTTCTACTTACTTCTATCTCATTCTTTTGATCTAAGTAAATATATATGTCTTTGGCATTAATCTTTCATCTTTTTTAGAATGAATTTTATAAAAAGTAATGATGACATACTGATGAAGATGCAACAAATTATATTTATCAGACATTATAATTTTTATTCTTTTTTATTACTAAAGCAAGAATACCACCTTGACATTTGATTATTATTGATACTTTCATAATTTCCTTCAAATAAAATATCTAGAATATCAACAAAGATGGTTTCTACTTCTAATAGTATTATCAAATATTGAGAGTCTATTTTAAGGTCATGATACCAAATTTGTTGTATCTCACCTTCTATTTGAAGAAAAATATGTCATTCTTAAGGATTTTTGTCTCTATTATGTTGTCTTAAAGGTTGTAACAATCTTAATACATTGTCTATTAATTTAAGAAATAATGACTCTTGAGTTGTATCGATTGGTTGTTAATATTTTATCTTTGTAGCACCACAATTGCATAGAAGCTATAAACAATGATAGAAGATAAAATATAATCTTTACTAAATCTTGTTTCTTTTTAGCAAAAAAATATTTGATTTTTTATCTTAATTTTTATGGATATTGTCATCTAAAAGTATTAATCTTCTTTGTTGTATTTAAAAAATTCTTAGTTAGCTTCTATGTGCATTTATTTATATCATATCTATTTCAACCTATTTTGGCTTTGTCTTAAGTCTAAGTCTTTTATGACTTTAAAATATTAGTTACTATTTATTTTTATAGATAGATGTGGCATTTGTCTTTTTTTTGGTATATCCATTATCTTATATGGATAAAAAAAAAAATACATAGAATATATGATGGATCTTCATAGATTTCAATAGGTGCAATAAATATGCAATTGCATTGATTTTTTCACAAATAAGAAATGATTAAACTCTATAATAATCTAATTTTTGAAAAAAAAATTTAATTATGATATTATATCAAAATAAACATATCTTATTGACAACATAGAATTGAGATTATTCTTTGCAATAGAAATCTATAATAATCTTTTATTATTTTTTAGCTTTCTTTAATTGTACCTTCATTGTTGTATGTGGCTCTAATAAATAATTTTTCAAATCTTTTGACACAAAATTACAAATTTTTAAAAAGTCAAAAGTATCAAATTGTAGATAATAACCATAAGTAATATAGAAAAGTGTTTGTTGAATAAAAAATATATCATATTATTATATGAAAACTTTACCAATAACAAAAGAATTGTCCAATCATCTTGATAGTAATTGATGGTATATCTTAAACAATGCTTCAAATTTTGATTCACTTGATTTATTTTTTATATTTGTTTATCAATTTGAAAATAAAAAATCAAAGATAATTTTAAGAAAATAATAAAGTAACTCAATTTTTTATTAAATTGATCCACATATTCAAACCATTGTTGTATCCTTTCAATTCCGTCGCCATTTCCAATCGTTTTCCTATTCTCAATTGTCACCCATATTTCTAGCCATTCCTCTATTCTTACCCATTGTCCTCATTCTTGATGTTCTCAATTTTCTACTTCCGTCCTGAACAACGGGTGAGAATAGAAAATAGTTGAGAACAAAGATGGAGGTTGTAAAGGTGCGATAATGGTTAAGATAGAATGAATTGCTTTAGTAAAAATTTAAGTCACTTCATCATTCTTCTAATTTTATATCCACCTTCAATAATTTGAAAAGGATTTTTTAAAACCATGATATAAATTGA